TTGAGGAATTTGAGACCAGTAAGCTTATTAGAACCGAGCTTGATAAATTGGGCATCCCCTATAAGTACCCAATTGTTGTTACTGGTGTTGTTGGCTATATTGGCACTGGAAAGCCACCTTTTGTAGCAATCAGAGCAGATATGGATGCCTCAGCTATACAGGTTTGGTGATTTAGTTATGTTTTACTTGAATGTCCATATTTCAAATTTTTATGGTGTAACTTTTTTTATTCTTACAGAGATTAGTGTCATTTTCTTGAATTTGTTCCTAACAAGTTGTTCATGAAATTGTTCGTAGTTATTGTGTGGCAGTGATTTTGTAGAACTAATAATGGTGTTGATTTGACCAGGAAGCCGTTGAGTGGGAGCATAAAAGTAAATTCCTGGAAAGATGCATGCTTGTGGACATGATGCGCATGTTGCTATGCTATTGGGTGCAGCAAAGATACTTTAGGAGCATCATGCTGATTTAGAGGTTGACACTTTTGCTTTCTTTCCGTTTTGTTCCTTGCAAATTGATAAATAATATTCCAATCTAGATGTATTACTTTGTGTTTGAGCACATACAATTGTGAGGCATTTTTAAAAGTACATGCATGAGAGCACAAATTTTGGACTTTGTAGTCTTGGAAAAAATATAGAATCAATTTAAAGATATGTGTACAATACAGTATGTGTGCATAGAGATGGTTAATGTGTAAATGACTTTTGACCTTTTAATGACTTTCATCTACAGTTATGTAAACTACATAATACTAGACAAGAAAAATTACCAAAACTAAGAAAAACTTGATTGGTCAAAAAGAATGATAGTGGGATAAGCGCTTAGTTTTATGCCTCTCTTGAGAGAGAAGAAAGAGAGATATAAAAGACGGGGGTGTTGCTGCAGGGCAATTAGGAGCAAATGTAATGAGCTTAAATAGAACTTGAAACCTAGGGGGTTTTCAATCATCACTTCATAAGCGTCAAAATTCTATAAAGGAAAAAAAACATCAGCTGGATTCTTTTTAAATGCACTAAATTTCATTTATTGAATTAATTACAACTTGCATAAAAAATAACATAGCATATGTGCCATTGCAATTTCCATGCTCGGTGAAGCATCCATTTTTGTAGAATTTATAATGGTTAAATTTATAAATGAAATGAGTTGTGGATAAATGGATCACACTTGTGGGTCCATTGAAATGTGTGGTTGAAATGAAATTTGACTAGTTTTATAAATTTTGTCGAATAGAGGCTAATATATAAAACATTTTTGTGTTTTTGAATGATAGGTCTTTTTCCCTAAATCCAAGTTTTGAAATCCATAGTCAGTGGGAAAAAAATTTAGCGGGACACTAATAATCTTGCTAAAGTTGAAACAAATACAGAATGCAAGATATGTAGGAACATGAACAATGGAATTTAGCATTAGTTATATCTTAGTTGCTTACAACTCAACAAAGCTATAGCTACTCCAATAGCAGTAGGAAAATCTAGAGCAATTGAACTTTCAGGAATAGATACAGATATATATAATAGGATTACATTGTTCTTCATTTCCGTTTTGCATCCAAATCTAAGTCATGACTTTGTGTAGGAGAATGATGTTCATGTTCTATGGCTTTTTTATTAGGTTTTGGCTTGGAGTTTTCTCTCCTAGTATAGCCATCCCTGCCCCTTCACTTTAATCCCACGAGCTCTGATCCCACTTTATTTGTTTAACATATCTTCACTGGGTGTTTTGGAATTATTATAGCAAGTCGGTCAAGTAAACAAGGGGCCATTTAGTAGACGATGATGCTGGACGAATAGCTGCCTATAATAGACCAGAGCATAGGGCTTTGTGATTGGCCTTCCTCTAAAGCATGTATTTCAATCACAGTTCATGGCATAAAAGAGTTGGCATAGTGGATAGGCAATGAGACTACTTAATTTGAATAATCGGCATGGGAAGAGTTTCCCAAAAGTAATCTTCCTTAAAACTGTTTTCTTGAAGAGAAGTTACTGGATAACAATTGGATTTCAAAGGAAGTAACATCATAGGAGACAAACAAATTCTTTAACTTGGGATCAAATCATTTATACTTTATGAGTAGGAGGGTGTCCGAAGAACACATATTTGACTGTCAGTACGTCTAACACATATTTGACTGTCAGTATGTGTAATTTACCTCTAAGATAATTGTGCCCACGAAATAAGATCCGACAACCATAGAATTTTAAGGGAAAGAGGTACAGAAGTCGTCTCTTCACCTCATGAACCTTTTTTTTTTTACCGTAGCATCATATTTAAAACAATACAGGTCATCAAGTCCCCTATTACTACTAATCTTTTCCTCCAAATCCTCGTATTGAAATCCATAGTGTGGAAAACAAAAAAATTAATGCAGTAATAATCTTTCCTAAACTTCTTGAATCGAAATTTGATTGCAAGATAGCTGGGAAAAATAAAGAACAGAGTTTAGAATTGAACCCAACCCTTCCTTGCACTGAAGAAAATGATCCATCTGCAATGCTCACTTCTTTTTTATCACTGCCACATGGAACATATAAAAATAATAAATTTGAAAAGCTGATTATGTAATTCATTGCTCTTGGATTATCCAAGGAGCTTTCTTTCCAAATAAACACTTTGGCCGTCTAGAATTTATCTTGTTTGGACTGAAGATAGGAGGGGTGCAATGCTTTGGTTAGCTTTAGACTTATTTATAAATCTGTGCAATAGCTCTTAGCTCATTAGTGAAATGTTGAGAATCTGGTCTTCTAGAGTTGGAAGGTTGTTGTACATCACCTGATATTTGAAAAGCACAATCGTTTCTCTCGGAATACTTGATATTTTTCCTAGTATTAGCTTTATCAGGAACCTGCCAGCACACCTCTTTAGGAGGATTTGAAGAGGCTGTGAAATAGTGATTTTTGCATCATATGTGGATGATTACTCAATTTAATGATTTGTTGATTAATTTTCCTTTATTTCCAAGCTTCCACAATGATTATTCAGCAAAACCACCATTGGGCGAGCACGGTGCATATAACTCAATTATGCAGAAATACGGTCCAAAGCAATGAACATTTGTTAATCCAATTTCAGCAATACTGTTCTGCAAGCAGTGTACAACTCAACATCTTCCCCTGTTTCCCTTCCCTTCCCTTCCCTTCCCTTCCCTTCTCTGTCTGGCCTGTTGTAACTCAACAAGGGTAAATTTGGACCCAACCCCTTAGCTTGCTTTCTTTTACCCTTCTCCCAACATCCCAACCCAAAAAGAAACAAGGAACACCGTACATGCCTTGTGTCATAACCTTTTGCATACACCTTACAGGCCTCATCTCATAACCTTTTGCATACACCCTTGGGAGTTGGGATTTGCTCAAACTTGGCTATTTTATATATTTATTCTCCTACTTTGTACGTGTTCACATATGATTGGTTTGATCATATTTTGCAATTTCGGGCCGTTTTTCGTTTTCGAAAATGCGGAAAATGTGTTTGGTCTGTCGTTTTCGAAAATACATTTTCAAAAACGAGGTAAAATTTATAATTGAAAAAATGCAAAATGATTTTTTATTGTTTTGAGTGATTTTAGTTATAAATGTCCAAAACTGGAAAACTAAAAACCGTTTTGAAATCGAAAATGGAAAATGAAAAACTAGGGCCTGTTCTCCTTGCTGTTTTCAAGTCATTTTCAGTTTTTAATTTTCGAAAACATTGAAGACACATTTACTTACCTATTTTCATAAAACAAATTTTCAAAAACGAGTTTAAAATTTATAAATAAAATGGAAAATGCCAAAAAAAGTCGTTTTGGCTGTTTTCAGTTAAACCCAGGCAAAAATTCAAAAACGCGGAAAACAATTTTTAGAAAGTAAACCCGTTTTTCATTTTTTTATTTTTTAAAATGACAAAAAGAACGCGTTTTTAACAATTTCAAAATGGACACTCAAAACACAAAATTCAAAATAAATTCAAAACTGAAAACTAAAAACTGAAATAGAAGAGTTCTCTTTGTTGTTTTCAGACAATTTTCAGTTTTTAATTTTTGAAAATACTGAAAACACGTTTACTTACCTATTTTTATAAATGAATTTTCGAAAACGTGGAAAAAAATTACGAAGGAAACGCAAACTGACCTGTTAGTCGTTTTGGCTGTTTTTAGTAGAAATCAAGCCTAAACTTCAAAATGCGGAAAACACGGTATTTTTGCCAATAGCATGATAGCTCAGTTGGTTGAGTCATGGATTTTCTTAATGTCACGCATTCAATTTCGTTTCATCGCAATTCAATACAAAGGAGTTTTCTTTTTATATGCACAGTACAAGAAATTTCAATTAAATTCCACATTTTTTGCCAATAGCCGAATAGCTCAATTGGTACAGTCGCGGACTTTGAGATGGTTACGAGTTCGATTCCACCAGCCTACTTTCAATACAAAGGATTTTTTTTTTATATGCACAGTACCAAATTTTTTCAAATAAATTGGTAGGTGGTTGAGATTCGAATTTGGGTCGCCAGCATGGAGTTTTAGCCCCTATTATTTTTCATTCCATTACATTTCATTTTTCTCTCTCATATTTTCAATTACACAATCTTTTATAAAATAATATTACATGTAAATCGAGAACTTTTCATTCTTTTTCAACAACTCATTTTTCAAAAAAACACTATTTAACCCATTTTCATTTCTATAAAATGGAGGCCAAAGAGAGCTTAATATCTTAATGACAAAAAGAACGAGTTTTCAACAATTTCAAAATGGACACTCAAAGCACAAAATCCAAAATGAATTCAAAATTAAAAACTAAAAACTGAAACACGAAGAGAACGGCCCCTAAACCAAGCGCAGCCTTAGTTTTTTTTAGCAATTTTGGGATGTTTGAAATTCAAAACCTCAATAAAATATTGAGCAATCTTGGCCCACCCTTGAATGCATTTCTGACTGTCCCAACGTCAATATTCGTCCAACTATTTGATTTCGTATTTACCCCAGATATACTAGTTGAAAGGACAAAACTGCCCTTGCCATTTAATGGTGTGGTTTGCCCAAAAATGTGTAGGTCATTTTTGGTATTTGCAAGACATGTAGGCATTTTCATTCCACATTTATCAGATGCGTGGCAGAACTGTTCAAATTTTTTAACCAATTTTTCTGCATAATGGGACACTCTTTCAAACCAAAAAAGTAAGGGTGTGTTCTCTTTGCCGTTTTCGAGTCATTTTCTGTTTTCGATTTTTCAAAACGGTAAAAACGCGTTCTCTTTCAAGTTTTCGATAACTAATTTTCGAAAACAAAAAAAAAATTGTGAAGAAAACACAAAATGTTTTTGTCGTTTTGGACGTTTTCAGTACAAAACTGGAAAAAATTGAAAACACGGGAAATCGTTCCAAAATGGCAAAAAGAACGCATTTTCAATAATATCAAAACAAGCACTCAAAACACAAAACCCAAAATAAGTTCAAAACTCAAAACTATAAAACTAAAACACGAAGAGAATAGCCCCTAAATTTTTTCTCCATGGCTCCTTCACACAAGGGCTGAAAATGTGAATCCTCATTATTTGATAATGTTGCAATAAATTACAAATAACTTAACAAGTTGGAATTTTTATTTTTATTTTTGGGTTTTGGGGGGGGGGGTCGTTAACTTTTTGTTTAGTCCTCTGCTTTATCTGACA